GCATGTCTGCGAGGCCAGAGGAATTTTCCCAGTTACAACGGAGGCGGCCGGAGGCTGTGCGAGTCAAGATCACACCGCTGGGCTGGTGGGTGTGAGCGGTGGTCTCTCCGGCCCAAGGCCCTGCCTCTCCCACGCGGACACTGTCTCAGACACAGAGTTCCCCACGCAGTCCTCCGAGCTCAGGGCCCTTCCAAACCGGGCTGGCGTCGCTTCCGGAACTTCTGCACAGGAGAACCGAGTTGGACGGGGCTGCGAGCTGGTGCCGAACAGGAGCAACCAGAAAAGAAAGATTTCCTGGAAATGTAGTCAGAATTAAAAAAAAAAATGGAGGCAATCAGATGGATAAAATGAGCAGAGCGGAACCCTGCCACAGGCACAGAAGCCAAGAAAGCCTCGGAAAGTAGGGCAGCAGGCGAGAGGAGACAGTGCGGGGTGATCGCTGACACGGAGTCGCGCTGCTCCTCAGTTCCTGGAAGAGTCCTTGGAGGGAAACACAGAAGAAATGCGGGAACTAATAACAGTCCGTTTCTCTGGCTGAAGAAAGGCCCGAGTCTCCAAATTCAAGTCACTACCCAGCGCTGAACGGGCAACGCTTAGAAAGCTGCACACTTTCTAGGTGACATTTTCCGTCCTGAAGGAGTTTCAGAATTCCCAAGGTACACCGAAATCCAGAGTGGAAAGTCCAGGGACCCGCAAAGGAACCACCAGGGGACTGACTTCGGCCGAAGCCGCGTGGGAGTCTCGCCCAGCTCGCTGTCAGCCCGGTGCCAGGGCACAGGGAAGACGCGTTCGGGCGGGCACAGGCCTCGGCGGCGAGTCCTCCGTCGACCTGTCCTGAGAGGGAGACCCAAGGCTCTACCCGCAGCAGAACCAAAACGGACGCCAAGAAAGAGGACGGCGGTAGCCAAGAAACTGACCCCAAGCCCAGGGGTGCGGTGTGAAAAAAAATCCCAGAGGACAACCGTGCCCGAGACCTCAGAGCGAATGGTGCAAACCGCGGGCAGTTAGACGGCTCCGAAGAGAACGCCTCCAGGAGGAAGAGCCCAAGTCCGGGTGGAGACATGGAGAATCCTGCTGAGGGCGGGAGGGCATCTCAGCACAGGGCGTTTAAGACCGTCCGGGCCGCCCCTTCACCCGTGGCGTCGGGTCCCTCCCTTCCCTACATCTGCGAAGAACTGTTATATAATCGTGATGTTTAAAACACTGGTGATTGGCTCACACTTGTTTAGACTCCGCCTCACTGTCAAAGCACAGAACAATGACAGACGCAGAACAGTGTCCACGTGGCAAAGCCTGGCAATGCAGAGGCTCGAGGCCCGGGGCCAGCGAGTGGGCAGGAAGGGGGAGGGCAGCGCCTAACCTCCCTTTGTATGTCCTGTGAAGTCAGGAGACCCTGGCCAGAGCCGCCGTGTGGAGAAACGGAAGTTTATGTCTATTGCGGAGAGCAGTCAGGGGAGCTATAGAAGAAGTAACTTTTTTAGCACATGGCAGAGAGCAGGTAGGCTGGGAGAGTCGTTGATGTAAGTAAGCTAACATGTCCTTTCATTCAGCATATACTTATCAAGTGCACGCTAGGTGCTGGGCACAGTGCTGTGATCTGGGAGTTCAAGGCTAAGCAGAAACCCAGACCTTGTCCTCAAGGAGTCTAGTGGGAGAGATAGGAGTGATTTATAGAAATAAAAACCTGATGAATAAAGGTAAACTTGCAAACATGATGAGCGTCAGAAGAGGGGCACGGTGCAGTAAGCGGCACCTGACCCCGACAGGGGACCCGGGAAAGGCGCGGTGGTCCAGCTGAAGGACACAGAAACGCTCAGTAAGCGGGGGAGGGAGGACATGTCCATCAGAGGGGGCAGCCGCCTGTGGCAGGAGGGAGCGAGAGGCGGAAAGGAACCAGGATCCTGGAGAACAGCAAGAGGAGGGAGCAGCGGAGGGCGCAGCGGAGGGAGGCTACAGGTCTGCAGGGGATGCACGCCCATGGCTGGGAAGGGTCGGGTCTGAACGTACTGGGGTAGTCACATGTCCTCTGCCAAAGTTTAGGAAGAGATAGAGGTTTCCCAGCTCATACCGGCTGACGTCTCTCCGGCTGTGTGACCAGAGGCAGTTCACGGTGGCTCTGGGACAGGACGCAAGGGGCTCACCTGCAGCCGAGGCAGCCGGCGAGGGCAATTAAGGCGCCCACCCAGCAGCCTGGCCCCGGCTGGCTGCCGACAATAACCACGGCATGACGGAGCAGAGCCTCCCACCTCCTGCTTCTGTCGGCAACGTTGGGAACCCACATTGGAAACCCACGGCAAACCTGTAGCCACATCTCGGCCTCCATGAGTGGAGAAAAGCATGGGGGGGAGGGAGGGGTGGCGCTGAAACCCCTTTTCAAATCTGCTGCCATGGGGAGTCCTGTGGGCAGTGCACAGAGCTGTCCTCACAGGCAGAAAGGGGGAGGCCTCTGGGTGCACCGTCCCTCGTCACCCAGGGAGGTGTCAGGGGGCTGGGGAGGCACTGAACTACCCTCCTGTGTGTGTGTGTGTGTGTGTGTGTGTGTGTGTGTGTGTGTGTGTGGCGGGGGAGGGGGGGTAGAGGGAGGCTGAGCCTGGCTGGCTGAGCAGGACCAGCAGCCCCTTCGAAGCCAGGGCTGGGGGAGGCAGGGCCTCTGCCTGGAACCAGTCCCGTGCCCGCCTCCCCCAGGAGCGGGGCCCCTGTAAAGCGGGGCGCTCACCCACCACCATCGCCCGGGCAGGTGCTGGGTCTGCCTGCTGCTCCCGTGTCCTCAGGGGCGTGTGTGGAATAGTTGCAGGTCACAGTTTCCCCGTGTTCTGGTGTGTCACCTCCAGACGCCTCCGAAGCTGCCAGGCTGGGCCCTGACTCCGCAGCCTGAGCGTCTGGTCCGAAGAGCGCGCTTCCCGCCCCTCTTTCCTTAAAGACACTCCAGGCCCCTCTGGGACCTGGACCCTGAGCGACCCTCATGCGCGAAGGACACGCAGCAAACCTCCACGCTCTCGGGCTCTCGGCTCGGCTCCTTCCAGTGGAGGAAACGCTCCGAGATGCTCTGTGGCTGCAAAGACACCTCCCGACCCCCCAACGCCCACCCCACCTCCAGCG